TCCACAGTCAGACTGGTGCGTGCCTTCTCTTCCCCTCTCCTAGGGGCAGCATTCACTGTGGGGTGGTGTGGCCCGTCTGGGCTACTTGCACACTGCCAGGCTTGTGATGCTGGGGATCTGCCATATTAGCTGGGGTGGGTAGGCAAGGTGCAAAGAGGCAGGAGGGGCAGGCTTAGCTTGCTTCTCCTTAGGTGATCCACTTCAGGAGGGGCCCTGTGGCAGCAGGAGGGAGTCAGATCCGCTGCTGGAGGTTTGTCTCCGCAGAAGCGCAGAGTTGGGTGTTTGCGGGGAGCGAGCAAGTTCCCTGGCAGGAACTGGTTCTCTTTGGGATTTTGGCTGGGGGATGGGCAGGGGAGATGGCGCTGGCGAGCGCCTTTGTTCTCCACCAAACTGAGCTCTGTCGTCCGGGGGCTCAGCAGCTCTCCTTCCCTTTGTCCTCCAGCCTTCCCGCTTTCTGAGCAGAGCTGTTATGACCTCCCAGACACTAAGTCGCGCTTGCTGTCGGAACACAGTCCGTCAGGACCCTCCGCTTTTTGCAAGCCAGACTCAGGGGCTCTGCTTGGCCGGCGAGCTGCCCCTCTGCCCCGGCTCCCTCCTGCCAGTCCGTGGAGCGCGCACCGCTTCGCCGCCCTTCCTACCCTCTTCCGTGGGCCTCTCGTCTGCGCTTGGCTCTGGCGACTCCGTTCTGCTAATCCTCTGGTGGTTTTCTGGGTTATTTAGGCAAGTGTAGGTGGAATCTAAGTGATCAGCAGGACGCGCGGTGAGCCCAGCGTCCTCCTACGCCGCCATCTTCCCTCTCTCGAGATTCTAAATTCAATGTGTTGTCTCATGCAGCTAGATTCTTATTGTTTGCTCAGTTGGTTGACTGAACTACGGCCTCCTGACGGATGACACAAAATGTGGGTGTATCAGAAATTGCTTAGTATAATGTAAATAGTCTAAATAGTTATGGAAAAGGGTATGTTGGAGTGTGATTATCATGTATTACATACTCATCTACTTCCTGTGTCCAAAACATACCTAGTAAATGGCAGACCTCGGATTCAAGCTTATATTCCTTATTCTTAGATGACAAGACTGGTTGTTACGAACTTTTGTCATATGGTACCCATGCTTTATCATGCATAGGTGGAAATTAACTTCTTAATAGGGAGGGATGTCGGAAATAAAATGCTTTCCCCTTGGGCTGAGAGGCCTAGTTCTGGGAGTTACATTAATTTTCTAGTTCCCAAGTTAGCATAACACAAAGAAATGAGAAAAATATATTGAGTGACACAGATTTCTTTTCAGATTGACATGTCAACTTTGTCATATAGTAAAAGACTTCTTGATTTTTTGAGAAACTTCCATACTGTTTTTGAGAGCAACTGCACCAGTTTGTATTCCCGATGAACTCTTGCCATGTGCAACAACGTGGATGGAACTGAAGGTTATTATGCAAAGTGAAATAACTCAGTCAGAGAATGACAGATATCATGTTTTCTCTCATATGTGAAATTTGACAAACTTAACAGAAGACCATGGGGGGAGGGAAGAGGAAAAAATAGTTTCAAGCAGACGGAGGCAAATCGTAAGAGACACTTAAATACAGAGAACAAGTTGAGGGTTGATGGGGGGGGTGCAGGGAGAGGAAATGGGTGATGGGTATTGAGGGGGGCACTTTTTGGGATGAGCACTGGGTGCTGTAATGTAAGCAATGAATATAGGAATCTACTCCTGAAGCCAAGAGAACACTGTATACACTGTATGTTAGCTAACTTGATAATAAATTATATTAAAAAAAGACTTTGGGGCACCTGGGTGGCTCAGTCGGTTAAGTGTCTGACTTCAGATCAGGTCATGATCTCACAGCTTGTGAGTTCGAGCCCTGTGTCAGGCTCTGTGCTGGCAGTTCAGAGCCTGGAGTCTGCTTTGGATTCTGTGTCTTCTCTCTCTACCACTTCCCTGCTCACGCTGTCTCTCTCTCCTTCGAAAATAAATAAACACTAAAAAAAAAAAAAGACTTCTTTTACCTAAATATGTCCATGTTACTGTTTATATATTTTTGTTTTATTGGGAGATAATCAAACTGTTTTATTTATTAATAATAAATTGTTCCATCTGGTTATTGATGTTCTCCTTTTTAATACCCCAAAAGGAAACTTTATATATACCCTTTAGTAGTCAAGCCCACCCCCCATCCCCCACCCGCTACCACCACTATTCTACTTTTTGTATCAACAGATTTGTCTATTCTGGGCACTTCATATAAATGGAATCATATAATACGTACCCTTTAGGTTTGGTTTTCATTTAGATAGTGTCTTCAAATTTACCCACGTTGTAGCATTTATCAGGACTTCATTCCTTTTTATGTGTATTGAATATTTTGTTACAAGAATATACCACATTTTGTTTATTGATTTGTCAGTTGATGGATATTTGGGTTGTTGGCACTTTTGCTATTATGAACATTTGTGTACAAATATTGTGAACATATGCTTTCAATTATTTTGAGTATATACCTACAAGGAAATCATTAGGTCACATGGTAGCTCTATGTATAACTTTTGGAGGAATTGCCAAACTGTTTTCAATGGCAAGTGCATGGTTCTACATTCCTATCAGCAATGTATAAAGATTATAATTCTCCACATCTTCATGAATACTTGTTATTGTTTGCTTTTTGATAATAGCCTTGCTAGTGGATGCAAAGTGCCTAAAGGACACATCTCCAGTGGTCCTGTTCTTATCTAACCTTTCTTCTGAAATTGGTCCTCCTGACTGATTTACTACTGGACCAGAGTCTGTCATTCACTTGGAAATGTTTGGCCTAATGGTCAGAAACCAGTTACATTTACATTGCTCTTTACATATGTCTTGTTACTTTCCAAATCAATTCTTGGACCCTGGCATCCTTCTCAAATCCCCTTATCAGAAAGGACCTGAATACGTCATTTACATGAAGCTGTATTTGACTGTGATGATTGTGGGAAACTTCCAAGAATGAAAAAAGAGAGAAGATACCCTATGTGAAAGACACAGAGTTTTCAACTTCTTTCAGGGGCCTTGTCCTTTTCCTTGACTGCTGTGACAAGACATCTATTTGTGTTTTTCCTTATAAAAACACTGTCCCTAGTTGTAGATGGTATAAATGCTTATGTAAAAAGCTGCAGGGAATCTAGAATTAGTGACTAGAATTAATAAATGAATTTAGCAATGCCATAGGATATGAGATTAATATAGAAAAAATAAATTGTATTCTTATGTAGTAGCAGCAACAATCGAGAAATTAAATTTAAAAATTCCATATATAGCAGCAACAAAACCAATAAAATACCTAGGAGTAAATGTGACAAAATATGTCCCTAAGACCCCCATAATGACAACTACAAAACGTTGCTGGGAGAATTTAATAAGATTTATGTCAATGGAAGTCATACCATGTTCACATATTGAAAATCTATTAATATAGTTATTCTCACCAAATATATATATATATATATATATATATATATATATATTCAAAACAATCCCGATAAAAATTCTTGCAAGCTTAATCTTAATTGAGGTTGTGGGAAGATGGCGGCATAGGAGGATGCTGGGTTCACCTCGTCCTGCTGATCACCTCATAGATTCGATCCATATCTGCGTAAATAACCCAGAAAACCACGAAAAGACTAGCAGAATGGACTCTCCAGAGCCAAGTGTAGACAAGAGGCCCACGGAAGAGGGTAGGAAGGGCAGAGAGGTGGTACTTGCTACATGGACTGGCGGGAGGGAGCCAGGGCCTTGGAGGGGCAGCCCACCCGGCAAGGTGGAATCCCTGAGTCTGGCTTGCAAAAGCAGAAGGGCTGGACTGCATGAGTTCTGACAGCGAGCGGGACTTAATATCTGGAATGTTATAAGTCAACAGCTCTGTTCGGAGAGTGGGAGGGTGAGAGGACACCAGGAGGGAGAGGCGTTGAGCCCTGGAAGACAGAGCTCAGCTCGGTGGGGAACAAAGGCACTGGACAGCGCCATCTCCCTCTCCCATCGCCAGGGGAAATTCCAAAGGGAACCAGTTCCCTTCATGTAACTTGCTTGCACCGTGCAAAAACAAAATGCTGTGCTTCTGTGGATCCATCCCTCCAACGGGTGTGCCTCCTTCCCAGTGTTGCAGGGCCACTCCCACAGGGGACAACCGATGGCAAAGCGAGCTGTCCTCCTGTCCCTGTGCACCTCTCAGATCCACCCCGGCTAATACGCCAAAGTAGCCCCACAAGCCTGGCAGTGTGCAAGTAGCCCATACAGGGGCCACACCACTCTACAGTGAGTCCTGCCCCTGGGAGATGGGAAGATAAGGTACACACCAGTCTGACTGTTGCCCCAGTGGATGGCTGGGGACAGACATCAGGCCTGACTGCGGCCCTGCCCACCAACACAAGTTAATCCAGACAGCACAGGGGAAGAGCCCTGCAGTTCCCCGCCACACCAGAGAATATAAAAAATGACGAAACAGAAGAATTCTCCTCAAAAGAAACTCCAGGAAGTAGAGACAGCTAACGAAGTTATCAAAAAGATTTAAGCAATATAACAGAACAAGGATTTAGTATAACAGTAAAAAAAAAAAAATTAGTCGCTGGGCTTGAAAAAAAGTATAGAGGACAGCAGAGAATCTATTGCTACAGAGATCAAGGGACTAAGGAATAATCATGAGGAGATAAAAAATGTTATAAATGAAGTTCAAAATAAAATGGAAGCAACCACAGCTCAGATTAAAGAAGCAGAGGAGAGAATTAGAAGATAAAACTATGGAAAAAGACGAAGGTGAGAAAAAGAGAGATAAAAATATCCAGGAGTATGAGGGGAGAATTAGGGAACCAAGTGATGCAATCAAATGGAACAATATCCATATAATAGGAATTCCAGAAGAGGAAGAGAGAGAGAAAGGGGCTGAAGGTGTAATTGAACAAATCATAACTGAGAACTTCCCTGATATGGGGAAGGAAACAGTATTGAAATCCAATAGGCACAGAGAACTCCCTTCAGATGTAACTTGAATGGATCTTCTGCACGATATACCATAGTGAAACTGGCAAAATACAAGGATAAAAAGAAAATTCTGAAAACAGCTAGGGATAAACACGCTCTAACATATAAAGGGAGAAACATAAGAATAGTGGAAGACCTATCTACTGAAACTTGGCAGGCCAGAATGTAATGGCAGGAAACCTTCAATGTGATGAACAAAAAAATATGCAGCTGAGAATTCTGTATCCAACAAGTCTGTCATTCAGAATAGAAGGAGACATAAAGGTCTTCCCAAGCAAACAAAAACTGAAGGAATTCATCAGCACTAAACCAGCCCTACAAGAGATCCTAAAGGGCATTCGGAGTGAAATGTTGCAAGGACCAAAAAGTACCAGAGACATCACTACAAGCATGAAACCTACAGACAACACAATGACTTTAAACCCATATCTTTCCATAATAACACTGAATGTAAATGGATTAAATGCTCCAACCAAAAGACATAGGATTTCACAATAGATAAAAAAAACAAGACCCATCTATTTGCTGTCTACAAGAGACTCATTTTAGACCTGAGGACACCTTCAGATTGAAAGTGAGGGGATGGAGAACTATCTATCATGCTACTGGAAGTCACAAGAAAGATGGAGTAGCCATACTTATAGCAGACAAACTAGACTTTAAATTAAAGGCTATAAAAAAAATTAAAGGCTATAACAAGAGATGAAGGAGGGCATTACATAATAATTACAAGGTCTATCGATCAGGAAGAGCTAACAGTTATAAATGTCTATGCACCAAATACGGAAGTCCCCAAATATATGAAAAAAATCACAAACATAAGCAACCATATTGATAAGAATATGGTAATTGCAGGGGACATTAATACCCCACTTACAACAATGGAAAGATCATCTAGACACATGGTCAATACAGAAACAAGGGCCCTGAATGATACACTGGATCAAGTGGCCTTGACAGATATACTTAGAACTCTGCATCCCAAAGCAAGGGAATATACGTTATTCTCGAGTGTACATTGAACATTCTCCAAGATAGATCACCTACTAGGTCACAAAACAGCCCTTCATAAGTATACAAGAATTGAGATCAGACCATGCATACTTTCAGACCACAATGCTATGGCTTGAAATCAACCACAGGAAAAAGTCTGGAAATTCTCCAAAAGCATGGAGGTTAAAGAACAACCTACTAAAGAATGAGTGGGTCAACCAGGCAATTAGAGAAGAAATTTAAAAATATATGGAAACAAATGAAAGTGAAAATACAACAATCCAAACGCTTTGGGATGCAGCGAAGGCAGCCCTGAGAGGAAAATGCATTGCAACCCAGGCCTATATCAAGAAACAAGAAAAATCCCAAATACAAAATCTAACAGCACACCTA